GTCATTTGTAATCATCAAAATTAAACGAAATAAACATTTGAAATATATGAGTTTGTATGTAATGTATGAATATAATAAACAAGTTTCACTTTTTAAATGGAATTACTGAAATAAATCTACTTTTTCATGATATTCTAATTTTATGACCAGCACCTGTATATACCTGCAAAATGAGGCTAGGAAATCTGTGTAAATTATGGACAATCCATACAGCTTGACATGTAGGCTATGCAAATCTGAAAATAAGGTATTATAATTTCCTTGTTTCATCCTTTTCCCCACAGTTTCCACATTGATCTATCTGAATTCAAATCAATTTCAAAGTGACTGTGTTTACTACTCATATTATTTTATGCAGGTGAAATGTTGCATTTGTTTGAAAGAACTTTCCTATAAATAAACAAAATCCCCTCCTTCTCATTATAGGCCATAACACCGACATGAGAATGAAGTCCCAGATAGACACAGGACAAACTTGTATCATTGTTAATTCATTTTTCTATTATTCTTTATCTTATTTTTAACCATCAAGCTTTCAGGAAGCAGATGCTGCACTCCAGCCTCATCTGTGCTGTGTGAGCTGGTGTTTTCTACAGCTGGAGAATATATTAAAAAAGCACAACAGACTCAATTTGAAAACATTGCAAAAKCTTTAATAAGTTTGTGAAAAAATCCTAGTTAACAAGCATCCACATTCACAACATGCTCACTTAAATTTTCATGTTATGATACATGTTCACATTATTTATAGACTGTATCTAAAAAATATCAAAGATATTTTAAATGTAAATGAATGTATGAAATCATACAACATAAAACCCAATGGTTTAAATTATATTATTTTTTATTTATTTTTAATTATATTGTATAGGTCATCAAATCAGTGTCAGTTGAGTCTGTCAGATAGGTTGCCTGTAGTGATTTTTAAGGTCCAGTAGGTGTCAGTATTCAGAGACACAGTGTCAACACGTATCAATAGAGTTTGGTAATGTTTCAAAATGACACATGATGCCTCATCTACCCATCACTAGTAGGAAGGCCTGAAACACATCAATGACTACAGAACAACCACCAACATCAACTGGCTCCACTGGGAGCCTGCCAGACAACTGCAACACCTACAACCGCTTTGAAGCCTCCAACACCACAGGGGGGGCATACATAACTAGCCCACATG